ACAAAACCCTCAACTTGTCATAGGTTTTATAAAATTTTAACAATAAATGCGATAGTTATAAACAAATGAAAAAATGGGCACTTTTCTTGTCTTTTTGCAATAACTTTTTTGTTTATTAACCGATTTTAATTTAACCAGTCTCATTTTGTAGATAATTTTACTCCCCATAAGCCGTCTGAGAGTCACTTTTCGCTAAAATTGATGGTTTTCCCTGCAAAGTGAAAAAACTGTTTTCCTCACTTATTTTTTTAAATAGAAAAGTTAGCTAATAAAAGTTTTTGACTCACGAGACGAGTGATGTCTTGTATTATGTTCCTTTAGACAATTTTACAATAATCTAGCGGATAGGACTTTTTTCGAGTGAAAATTTAATTTGCTTGGTCTATATACCTCGGTGGTTGAACGAATGTTATACCTACTAGGTAAAAACGTGTGAAGAATAACTTCGTGGTATAAAAAATCCTCTCCGTGAACATTTGCAAACAGTGAAATGTGCGGAACCTTATGCAATAAAATAATCAACTCCCTTTCTATCTAAATAATGATCCTTAATTTTATAAATTTGCGAAAATTACCGCGTTTTATATGGAAATAATAATAATTTAATGGCTTATACTGAACAATAGACACTCTTTATAACTTATTGTTAATAGAAAACATTTTTTTAATCAACGTGGTACTGTACTACTTTGTTCTCCTTTTACCTACACAGACATCTTAAAACACTCTTATAGCAACGTTCCGGATCCACGTAAAAGAGAATTGCGATATTTGATAATTTCAAGACTAACATTTTCAATCTCGCAAAAAACAACAGATTGCAAATTCTACAATTTCTCCGAGATCCCAATGTGTGTCAAACAAGAACTGAAATAAACTACAACAATGTATTTTTCCCAATGTTGTCAGCTTCTATCGCGATGTATACCTACACAGAAAACATCGAATTTTTCATGCCAGCATAAATAATAATGAACGTCTCTTATTATATTTGCGCTTGCCGGCAGAATTAATGCCGTTTACTTTCTTTCTGTCACTTACAAGCAAAACATTCAAATACATGTGGGGAATTACAAATCATCCAGTGACATTTCAAAAGGAAAACTGATTCAGAGCACTATTTTCGAAGTCCGGAATGCTTAATAGTTTTATTAGAAAAAAGAGGGATTACTATTTTTATATGTCACAGTTGGTGGTCGCCAGTATATTTTTGAAAAAGTTTATTTAGCCAGGTAAACATTAAATATGAAAAATGCGCTGCGTTGTAGGTGTAGGCAGGCGAGTCAAGCCGGTTTACGTAAATGTTATAAATGACTGCGAATAATGTTCAGGAAAAACACAAAATTAGTAATAATCACAGAATACTGTCTGCATATGAAATTTATGTGACGGATCACATGTTTTTTTTTAATTTCATACAATAAAACTTAGGCATGTAAAACTTCTGAATCTTATGTGGGAAATATGAGCAAAAAAACCTAACTATTGATATTAAAAAATTATACTCAACTACATACTCTTATCGTTATTAAATAAACTTCTGCAAAAAATTAAGGGAGCACAAACATTTTTCGAATTTTTAGTGATTTTTCAGAATGCTGTATCTCAGTTAAAAATGATCGTATCAAGGTTTTAAAAAAAGCATTTTAAAGCGCCGAAAGTCTAGTTTCCAGATTTCTTAGCTCAAAATTTTTAGGAGCGACAGTCATCGCGAAATTCTAAGAAATAAGACTAAACAATTTTTTTCAATTTTTTGCGTTTTTTTTCTCGGTCCACGGGCTTGGAAAAATTTTTTACACAAAAATCATGATATGGACTTGATAGCCTGTTCATTCAGCTTTAATTTCTTTTTTTAAATTTTTCTCTACGTTAATTTGACCCGGAGATATTCGACTACGAATACAAAAGCATCCTTTTGGCTTTAACCATCGATATCTCAGCAACTAATGATCAGACAGAAAATTGACGGGCAGTTTCGAAATCTCGAATAAATTTCCTACAAGGCTATGTAGCGTTCTTGGAAGAAAAAAAATTTCTTTCATCCTCGACATTAACTTGAAAAAAGTGAAAAAAGTGACTTTTTGACTTGTTTTGCTAAGTCGACCGCATCTTTGCTAATATCGATGGAGAGTCTAATGCTTGTACGAATTTTTACACCTCGATGTACCCCCAAAAGCTCCGTAAATGGGCAGATCGATCTATCGAACGGTTTTTCCGGACCGCTTAAT